GTTTTTTTTTTTTTTTTTTTTTTGCAATTAAATTGGAAAGGCATACCAGTTCCTTGTTGCCAGAACCCAGAGCCGGGTAGGTATTTCGTAAATACGCTACAATTTTTTGAGTGTAAACACACGTCCCGTCGTTCAAAGAGAGTTTGAGGCATTCGTTATTTAGACCGACGGATTGCGAGTCTTCTGCAAAGGTAATTGAAATCGGGGCACTTTGATCGACATGGTTTATGTAGCCGGCCGCCAAAACCCCTGGGAGGGCAATGGCATGATTGGCCTGGCAGGCAGCAATGAGAGAAGCCATATTAACTTGACAGCGGCAAGTTATGAGAGGATGGGAGAGTGGTTGTTTGGGAGAAATCAGCCGCAGTTGTTGTAAAGTGACAAAATTTGGTTTCCTGAGAAGGTTGTGGGTAGTAGTGGGGGCGGGGAACCGACCTCTATAATTACATAATACAGTATGAGCCAATCATAGCTCACTTGAAGGGGATCCAACCTCTGGCCCCTCATTAGTTAGTTACCTAAGCAGGTGCCTGGTCTGCCCGTTGTCTGAGGTCGTGGATCGACCCGGGGACAAGCCGTCCGAGTTGCACCTATCTAGGTAACTTTAGGTAACAGCATTAACTTGCTAGCTTTCCAGAAAAGTCTTGAACTAATTCATCCAATTTGGCTGACATAAATCAAGGAATGAAATTACATTTTCTACCCGAAGAAGGATTGTTCTAACTAGTTAAGTATCTAGTTAACGTAGTTAACTACTTGACTGGTGTCATCATTCCTTCCCCAAATTAAACGGGTAGGAGACTGCAAATACTTGATGCCGGCTTCAATAACCCCTTATAGATAAGTAGCATTGGTGAATATATCGCGTTTTCCGCTTTTTTTCTAACTTCGAGCTTTATTCAAGACGTACGAAAGAGTTTAACCTTTTTTAACCTTAACCTTTGTTTCTATTTAGATTTATTTCTCCCCCTCCACCCCGCCACCGCCTATTTACATCTACTCCATCTACTGCATCGACACCAACGATCCGGCGATTAACCTATTTATTTTTGATATCAATTGCAGCCCAATGTCCAGTCCTATTTTAAAACTCAATACGGGGCACGATATACCCGGCCTTGGGTTTGGGACATGGGACCCCAGGTACCCGGAAAAGGCATACGATGCAACGCTCCATGCACTCCATGCCGGATACAGACACCTCGACTGTGCTGCTCTCTACATTAATGAAGAGCTCGTTGGCAAAGCGATACATGAATTTCTCGAGTCTCGCCCCGATGTCCAGCGTAAAGATCTGTTCATCACCACCAAGGTGTGGAACCATATGCATGAGCCAGAAGATGTCGAGGCCAGTATAAAGGAGTCCCTCCGAAAGCTGAGGCTGGACTATGTCGACCTGTATCTTTTGCACTATCCAGTTGCCACGGTAAAAGATGAAAAAGGAGGGGAAGCTGTGGGCGCTGATGGAAAGGTGTGTATATAAGACTGTCAAAGTATGAGTGCATACTTACGATGACCACCTAGTACATTGTCAAGAGGGAACTCACAGAAAACCCCGAGCCTACCTGGCGTGCAATGGAGAAGGTTGCTCGAGATGGCCTTACACGGGCAATTGGTGTTTCAAACTGGTCTGTCTCTCGGCTACGGTCTCTGCTGAAGTTTGCATCTATACCACCGGCTACCAACCAGATTGAGATTCACCCTTTCTTCCCAAACACCAAGGTTGTTCAGTTCTGCTTCGACCATGGTATCCTTCCTGTGGCATATTCACCTCTAGGATCCCAGGTTCTTACATGTGGAGAAGCAGAGAAGGCTCGTGGTCAACAGGCGCTTCGAGATATAGCTACCAGAAAGGGTTGTGACATTGGACAAATTCTCATTGCATGGGGTTTGAGGCGGGGGTATTCAGTAATTCCAAAATCCTTCACAAAGTCACGAATCACGAGTAATTTCCAGCGAGTCGAACTAACAGACGAGGAGTTCAAAGCCATTGGGGATGCTCCTGGTGGAAAGTACACTCGCTTTGTTGATCTTAGCGTTGAATATTCTTATGATAACTTTTGGGCTGATGAAGAAGATAGATAGACTTAATAGAGATCCAGCAGTGGGGTTACGACTTGGTTTATTTAGATGAGAGTTAATGACGAGATTCAACTTATATTTTATATACTGATATGATGGGACTATATGATAGGATTTATCCTTACCAACCTCTAGTAGAGTATATCAATGTATAATTCACTTTAACCTGAAAATAGGATATTGATCACCAGTTCTGACTGGAATGATACCGAATGACGCAAATGAGTCCATGTTCTCGGGCTATTATTATTCATGAATGATCAGTAAAATTCCATGATCAAAATGGGTAAAGGGTCCTTACCTCCAAAGAAACAAATGCAAGAGCAGCGTTCTTCTGGTTTGTCTTGACCAAATACGAGCCTGCTGGAAGCCTGATGTTACGCTCAACTAGTTTTGTCTCTACGGTAGTGGTGACGACGCCTTCGTAGTATTCCTTGTCGAAGGTAACAGAAGTAACGTTCAACGCCTCTACTGGTCCGACATAGCTGTAGGGGAGCTTGTCAGCCTTGACTCCGAATACTTCCAGGCGCTTGACGATATCTGGCCATGAAGGAGGGATAAGGTATGCCCTTGGGCGGCTGCGGGTCAAAACAGCTTCCGCAGGGGTAGTTCTGGGTTTGTTAGTCTAGGAATTATATAAATTCATCCATTCAGGGGGAAAGACTTACGTGGCGAAGTCGATAGGATAGTCAAATAGAGAAGCATCGGTTATGTTGAGCATGCCAAAAGTCCTTTCCATTACCGGAGATTTGTCAGAGAGCACGATGTCGTTTCTGCTATTAGTGAAGCGCCTAATGCCCCTTTCGATGGTATTGTAGACTTCATCGAAGTTGTCGACGGCCGTTTGCAAGATGCTCTTAGCCATGACCAATCCACTGAGAGTTCGGCGTTCGAAATGCTGACCGGCAATACCAATGCCTCTGGTCTCGCAGAGGAAGACAACACACTGGGACAGCCCCATAGCGTTTCTTCCGATCTTAGCGTCAGTACCAGCCTCAAGGAGAAGGAGCTTCGAGCTTGAGGATTCTCCCAGAGTGATGTATGGGTCCCAGCGGAGACCAGCAGCCTCAATATCCTTGCCCATACGCTTGGCGAATAGTTCCTCTGACAGCTGGCGGATGCCTTCATCGATATTTAGGTTCTTTGCTGCGCTGAATAGAGCATCAGCAGCATAGATAATGTCCCTTTTCGGACCGAATGTTCGACCTGCAGTGAACTCGTGCATGTCAGTCGCAATGTGTGGGCTGAATCTGGCGAAGAGCTCCTTGATGTCTCTGGTTTGTTGCCTGGCAAGCTTGATATGGTCACGGTTGGGATCAAAGTTAGTGGCTAGGTAGCGCTGGAAGTAGAAGACACCATCAGGGTTGTAACGAGGCAGCACTAGGATGTCCATCTTCTCCAGGAGTTTGGCAGCCCATTTCTGATTTGCAGCCAAGTCACCGAGGAGCGCAAGCATGGACTGGTCGCCCGCAGGTTCGTTACCGTGTACACCTCCCTGGAGCCAAACTCGCAACTTGCGGCTAGAAGGGTTCTCGACGGAAGAGTTGCTCGCTGAGAGATACATATAGGGAAACTTGCGGCCCTCTTCAGACTTGAAATCAGCCTCGTGGTAGGCCATCCAGCTGTTCGACCTTGCCAGGCGACGCATGAAGCCCTCTGATACCCATTAGCAGTTGAACTATCGGCGAAACGAGCAGCGTTAAACAAAACTCACCCATGGTCTCGTCTCTGGTCGGTCCAGATGTGCCATCAGAGAAACCTCTGGGCACAGTACCCGGAGAGGTAAAGGCAGGAGACTGCAGATGTGTCCCATTTATCGCAGGAAACGCCCCTGCGACTACAGCAGAGTCCTTGTGTGTAGAGAGCTGGTTGTAGCCATATTGCAGGGCACTCGCACAGTGGGATCCCAGCCCCAGGGAGATCAGAGTCAGCAAGTGGTAGGCCACCATCGTGTCAATGGCTCTTCTTCTCTGTTCCTAAGCCGTTCTCCTGTTCGCAAACCTGTGTCTAGCATTCTGCGCCTCATACGGGGGCGAACCCGCGCATTTTATACCAGGCCGTCCAACCGTCCAGCCAGCCATCACATCGTTGCCTGAGGTGCATAATCCGGAGTCTCTGGGCAATCGCTAGCTGCTCTCCCCCTCCAAGCTAGTTAGTGGACAGCCAGCCAGGCATGCAGATCCCATCCCTGGCCTTTGCTCGCATTTCTTCCCCGGAGTTTTCTTCTTTGCTTCTTCTTTGCTTCTTCCTGGGATCCGCAGTAACATCGAGATGTTTGCTGACTAAGCGCGCTGATCCGATTTCGTTCCTGCATGGCAAAAGAAATCCAGTTCGACGGCGACGTACATCGACGGATAGAAAAGACGACGACAAAAGGCGAGGATGAAGAAGATGATAGGCCTTGAGGCGATGAAGGTTGGGTGAGCTGCGGGACAGGTACCCGTTTTCAGGTCGAAGTTTGTGCTAACTTGGTGAAAAGAGTGAGAGACTCAGCTGTTTACCTCCCATGAGCCACGCCATGCTGGATGTCAATGCCATAGTCCAAGGGCGCAGATGGCATATTGTCAAGGATATAACCGACTAGAGCCCATGTCGACGGTGCCCAGATTGACATTGCGGGGAAATCCAACAAGGGCGCGCTGTGGTCGCGGTCGCCTTGCATATTCACCTATCTGGTCGATTTAAGACGGATGTCCAGTCTGATGGAGAATGCTAGAGGTCTAAGCCATGCCATCTCATGAACTTCACCTCGTCTTGATGACGAAGAGCTTTACTGTAGGATCACCTCGGTTATACATTGGCATCCTTCGACTTTGAACTTGTCTCTGGGGCGGCATACTCGACGTCAACCACGCCGTGTCTCCATCCCCAGTGACCTGCCCAGCCGCTAACAGGCCAGTGATTGGTGAGCAAAGGATTTAAACGAAGGGCCTCCACAGAAGAACAGGGCATCGAATATTCTACGTTTGTGTGGTATGCGCTGGTAAATGTGAAATGCAGGCATGGCAGTCCAGGCCCTTCAGATATAAGCAAGTAACTGGGGATGATGTCGACATGGGAAAAATTCTTCGCTTCTCATGACCTTTTTGTTCTTGCATCGTATCTAGGGTTCAAGGGAGCCATGCTAATCTTTTGCAAATGAGCTTTTGTCTTAGGATTTATATGCTACTTAGTTATATAGAAGCGGCCTTTGTCGTGACCACGTCAGGATTGCATCAATTATGAATTCAATAATACTTAAATAAACCCTCCCTTCTCATTTTAGAGACGGAAGTGAGGGTGCCTTGGAGTTGGCAATAATCTCATGCCAGTTCCACCAATGGACGCTATCTACGGCCGGAGTTAAGCACTTATATTCCAGCTGTGCCGTTCCGTCTCTACGCTGCCAAGGGCGACTAGCTGTCGAAATGTAACGGAAGGGCGACGGAAATAATAATAATAATAGTAATATTAATAGAGAAAATATGAAGACGTAAAATTCATTCCATATGTATGTACCTTGGAAAAAAATATGTACATTTGAAGTTCAAAGTGGCTTGTCAAAAACCTGTCGGAACACTCGCTTCTCCCCTTTCTTACACATTCATCTACTTACACTCGTTTGGAACCTGGGTGCTACCAGTGCGGTTCTTTGGATCGAACTTAGCACCGACACCGAGACCACGCTTAGCGAATCCCTTCCAGATCTCACACTTGTTGGCACCCTTGGTGAGGTTCATGTCGGCATCGAGGATGGCATCACGAGCCTGGACGAAGTTGGGGTTGCAGGGTTGACTAAAATTAAGCCGTTAGTTACTTTGAAACATGACATGCAGCGAACCAGGGGGGGGGAAGTTCGAAGAGACGGGGGAAATTCTCAAACACTTACATAGCCATGCCATCCATGACAATCTTCATTGCAAGATACTTGCCGTCATTTGGAACGCCGTTCTCGAAGATTGGGACTGGGCCATCATTCTTGCCGTGCTTGTCAATGAGGTTCCAGAGGACTTCGTAGAGCATGGTGCACCAGACGGTACCGATGGCGTGGACCTCGTTGAGTTTGTTGTTGGAGGTGTAAACGAGAGGGTTGACGTTCATGTCAGTGGAGTATGGGTACATGCGGACACCCTTGGGGCTGTTGTTCACCCATCCTCCCTTAACGTAGTTGGTCTTGCGGGTATCATTGGGCTTTAGCCGGACAGCAGTGGCGTAGAAGTCACCCCATCCTTCTCCCATACCACCGGACTCAATGGCGTTCAAGCATCGGGAGTTGGCAGGACCACCGCAGAGACGGTTGGAGACTGTAAGCAGAGTTAGTGTGGAAAGGATATCTAGATGCACTCGGTATACTTACGACCGTGGGTGTATTCGTGGATGATGGTTCCAGCCTCGAAGGAAGCATCACGAGGTGGGTTGGCGCGGGTCCAGATGTAGGCACGCATACGGCCGGGCTGGCCATCAGGGGGAGTAGCAAAGTTGGCGTTGTTGGTGCCAGAACCGTCCTGGGCGTTCAAGATGACAAAGTCATTGCCCTTGCCGCCTTGACCACGGTTGTTGACCTGGAAGTTTCCGGCCTTTTCGTTAAAACCGAGCATGTAGTACAAGTCATGGCAGACGTTAGAGGTGTAGAAGAGCTCGGTCACAGAGGCATCAATGTAGGTCTTGGGTGGGTTCATGTCTGGTGAGTAGGGGTACTCGAACTTCAAGTTCTTTGGGCTTGGTCTGTAGTTGTTCTCATAGTCATTGCCTCCGTCTGGGTTGTACTGGGCGATAGCGTTGTTGCCCCTTGTGGCAGTGAAGTTGTTCTGTCCATCGGAAAGCCAGGTCAGGGGGGAAGTCTTCAAGTTCCATGGGTTGGTGAGAATTTCACGCTTGCCCTCAGTTGGGTCAGCAAGGCCCCATTTGCTGGGTAGATGTTAGCTTTTTTTTTTTTTTCCGTATTTATATGAAAGCAGAGTGAGAATAAGGATATACGCACTAGACCTGGAAGGTAGCATGAGCAACGTAGTCGACTACGTTGTGAACCTTGGAGGATTCCTTTGCATCCATATAAGAGAGGAGCCAGTTGTCACCAATATCGGTTTCAACTCTCCAGGTCAGAGCCAAAGAACCATCTTCCTTGGCCATATAGCAAAGCTTAGCGGTGGGGTCAGAGAGAGCACCAGAGGTACCCTTGAACATGACCTTGTGCTCGCTCATGTCCTCAACGTGGGCTCCATCAGCCTTGATTGGAAGGTTGAGAGCCTTGCGGACACCGTGAAGTGCCTGCATTGGGTCAATGAAGTCTCGCTTGACCATTGGGTTGGAGGAGGGAGCTGGGCCGGTGTAGAAAGAGTTTCCGTGGGAGAGGACTTTGCCATCTTTGCCAACCTAGTATGAACACAGGGTAAGTTTCAGACCATAACGAAGGTATGATTTGCATGATTTTGGAATAGAGGCTCGTAACTTACGTTGACGTTGAAGTCAGAGTTGTCGATATCAATGCCGTGCATGGTCTGACGGAAACGGACGTGGCCAATACCAGAGTCACCAACGTAGTGGTCATCGACGAGACGGAACTCCATGTTTGGTATGGTCTGCTTAACCAGCTCAGTGGCAACCTCAAGATAGGTTCCCTGACGGAAAGAAGCAATGCTGGGCAGCTTCTTCATCTCATCGTGGCTGGTGTAGCTGGATCTGTGGGCAATACGGAACTCATTCAGGTCGACAGCTCCAGCTCGGCCAGCGAGACTGGTGCTCGTCGAGGGCTGGGGGTGTGCGAGCACATGGAGAGGCAGGCTGAGAAGCCCGGCGGCAAGCAAGAGGCCGTGCATGTTGATCAGAGGAGTATATATATAAAGAGGAGCTGTGAGCTTGAGAATCTGCTCTTCCAGAATTCACACTCCTTGGGTATCATCCCAACCTCTTTCCTGGGAAGGGGATCAGCTGGAGTTTATATATGTTGATCTCCCTTGATCATCTCCCATGCTTTGATCATCTCCACGCCCCAGAAAGTCGCATGGTATTCCGAGGCAGATTGGGGGTTTGAAGGGACCTGGAGTATGCTCCTGAAGGAAAGGCTCCCAATCCCGTTGCATTGCCTGACTCTGGGGCAGCGCGCCGTATGTTTCCGGCCGACCGTGTCCCATGTCGGCTTCAAGCACCATGGTTCATGCAGATCCTTCCACGGAGAGACGAGGTTTAAGGATCAGGGCGAGGATTGTGAGTACAAGAGGTCGTATTTCGGGACATGAAGCCGGTGATAGCCACGGCAAGGGTCTGTATCATAGTGTGGTTGTTCTCCACTTCAAAATCGTGGGGTTAGCATTCCGCTGCAAATGAATAGTTAATAAATAGTTAAAATAATATATAGCGAGAGAGAAGCAATGGTGGAATTTGTGGTGGATTCAATATGGGGAGAGACGTTGGTGAGCCTGTTCCCCGGACAAGGGGTCGTCCAGCGGGTAAACAACATCTCTATATTTCGGCATATCTTCATGCAACCTTCACTGACAACTCACCAGTGTAAGTTTACAGGGTTGAGGACAGTGGCTGACACGGTGTGGCTAAGGAATATACTTGATATCATATTCTGGACTTGGTATCTCCATAAGTACAGCCTTTCATACCCCCCGGATGTGCTTGGATGGGAAAAGGAAAACAAGCCTATTTGGACCTCGTCTTACGGAGTACTATAAATATATTGTCAGATGATTTGGCCTGTCTTCTCAAAAACCGGGGTCCCTATACGCATCCAGAAAATCGACAGTAGTATGCTCCGGAGTATGTATATTATTCACTCACATGAAAAGAATTAGGAGGAGGTTCTACAAATAGGGTTGAAGAACTTCCTGAGTATGATTCCACACCCTCTCCAGAGCCGAGTACCGTAGTATTTTCATGTTCTTTGCATTCGGGGTACAATCACACTTGTAGTTGACCAGAAACAGGCCATTTTCCTCCTTTTCCAGCGAGTTGATGCCTGGCTTTCCATCCCACGGAACACCACGACCGCCAAAAACTGCGCTGGTACACTGGAACAAGTGTCTCTGTCCAGCCTCTTCGTCACTGAAGCTGAATACTCCGAGAAGAGTCTCCAGGAAAAGCCTGATGACCCAGCCCATGATTGAGTTGGGATCCCACCCTCTCCTCACATTCCCCGTATTGACCCATCCGGGCCAGGAGTGGATGAAGGTAACGTTGGGATTGGCCTGAGCGAGCTTCTCCCAGCCCATGCTGTTCATTGTCCCGTACTGCATCTGGGCCTTGATACTGCCAAAGTTGCCAGGCTTCCTGAGATCGAGGTCATCCAGGTCGATGCTCGTCTTCTCTAGGCCCCCGGCCATGACGCTGATGACCCGCGGTGCCTCGGCCTTGTCTAGCAGAGGGAGGAGATGGAGAGCAAATAGTATGCGGGAGTAGTACTCCAGGCTCTGGGAGGTTTCTATGCCCTCTGCCGTCTCCTTGCGTCCAGCAAAGGGAGCGTATCCTGCCGTAAGGAATAGTAGATCGACACGGGACTCCTTGCTCTTGATAACATTACATACTCGCCTGGTCTCTGCTAGTAGAGAGATCTCGCCTTCGGTCCAGACGATCTCAGCCCTGGGGTTGATGGCCTGCAGCTCTTGGATGAAGGTCTTCATGCGCTCCTCAGAGCTCTTGCGGCCGACTAGGTAGATCCGCATGCTGGCCCCGGTGCCTACCAGGGCCTTGACTGTGTATTGTCCGATGCCTGAGGTGCCTCCCGCGAAGACAGCGACTTGCGGTGCCGTCGACTCGCTGATGCGCGCGTTGGACGCCTGAACCTCTTTGTACGAAACCATCGTCAGTGTCTCGATATCAGTTAGTTGTTGCTATCCAGACAATTCCGCCTCTTCCGACAGAGACCTTTGGCATCAACATCATTGTACCAGCATCTTTTATGCCCATCCGTGTCCAAGGCAGCAATAGCTGTACGTCAGTCGATAACTAGCTGGTTAGGCCCAGCCTGGCTCACCAGCCACAGATCCTCCACCAAACAGAGTTGAATGCGAGTTGGCTCCTGCAAGCATCACCCTGGCAGAGGACCAGGAACCCTCGCACAGAGGGAAGAGGAAGCAAAAGAGTGAAGGCAGAAGCGAGACGCTGGGCTGTCGATCTCATGTGTCCCCTCGACTCGAGCTGAGATGTTGGTTGGTGTCCGTTGGCTGCTGGAGCCGCAAGGATGGCCAGCAGGCCAAGCGCGGCCCCTGAAGCTGAAACGCCCTCGAACACGCCCGAGAAGACGAACTGAAGACAGTAAACACTTGGCTGAGACTGCTGTGGGTGGTAGGCTCAGTTCGGCCTTGGGTGTCTCGAGATCCTGAGATGGCTCCGCGTGTTGGTACCGAGAGAGTGTCATGCCAGGCCTGCATAATGGGCACAGGAATGCCTGCAAGTTGATATCTCGACTTTATATCACTGGACAGTTATACCGAAAGCAAGTCTTATTCTAATTAAAGATATGCCGATCGAAACAAGCCCGGGAGCCTCTTTCACAGGCCGAGAAGAGCTGCCATCCCGAGAAGATGGGATGTATCGAGGACGGGGTTGGTGATCAGCCCGTCATCTCCCTGGCTCCATCTCAGCCGACACAAGGCTATAAATGAGCAGTCTTATCGGCTTCACGTTGGCTACAGAGTACCTATGCTTTTATCATGGGAGACACCTCTGTACTATCAGCATTTCAGGCCGTGAAAAGCCAGGATATGGCGGCACGGCCGATGATCCCTCTTCAAAGCCCTCAAGGGGTGATCCATCCCAGCGCCAACTGCAACACTTCTTAACACTGGATCTCCCTTCAACGAGCAAAATAGTCAGGCATAGCCGTCCAAGGACAACCCCACGCTTTCATCGTTGTCTATCCATCCATGTCCACGATTGAGATGAAATTCGAGAAAGGACAAAAATCTGGGGATAACCGCGGTCGTGACGTCAATACTTGAATGTTTCCCGTCTTGTGTCCGAATATGGACTGGAAACAACAGACTGAAGTCTGGAGAAAAGAAATATGCCCGGATCGAGGTGTCCAATCGACGAAATAACATGACAAACTGATTCATTGATATCATACGAGGCCACCGTGAAAACAGCAGCAGAGGCTCGGGGAAGTGTCCTGACTAGGCCATCTCCCGGGAGTCCTGCATGATTTAGTTTCTCTCCCAGTCGCAGGGAGACAGCGCTTGAATGCATATGCATCTTCAATCTTTCAACTTTATCTCTCGATGGCCAGTGTATTGCCACTACTGTTGACAGGGGATGTCTCTTAGCTCTATCAACAGATGCGGAGATGCTCGGTAGATTTGCCTTGGCTGGAAGTCAAGTCTTTTGTCCCATGGGGTAACCGAGATACTCCTATTCCATGCTTGCCCATGGCATACCAGTAGAGATGGCAACATCTTCGTTCATATAATAACACGGAGATTCTACATATTGACCCAGGATTCTGGATATGAACACTTATAAGCCTATGGTAGCGAGATTGAACCGTGCTAAGCTGTATTGGAAGTACCTACCTAATGGATGGACCTGAGCACTGCCCGATCCCGTCTCCGGGCCGGATCCGGTATCCACTGACTCGATCCATCCAACCACCGCTCTGGGGCCCCATCCAATCCAATCCAGAGTTCCATTAACTAGCTTTCATCACGTGATACAAAACCATTAGTCAATGGATCTACGGAGTACCTGATAGGTTTAAAATAAAAAAAGTTTCCTCCTGGTTAGTTAACTATCTTTCTCACCTTTGTGGAGGAAGACAACCAGTATGGACCAAATCAACCAGCACTCCGGATCGAATGTGTTGTGAGCTTATTGCTAGAAATATCTGCCATGAATATCTTCCGACGGAGTAAATTATTGGACAGTGCCCTTGCCTCATATGCCGCACCAGTCAAAATAACACGAAAACTCTTCATGCGTACCTCTTCAACTCTCGATACACAACCTCAAATGACAGCAAATAACCAAGGAAATCAAAATCATGACCTGCTTTTCCAATATACTTCAGGGAGATGGCTTTGGGGCGAAGAAGAACAGTTGGCAGCTCGCTATGTGAAGTTCGATGTTGCAGCTCTTTGCCAGGTGGCAGCAGACTCTGTCGGCTCTTGTTCATGCACAGATATCGCAAAATTGACAGAAGGAAACTTCAACAAAGTCCTGCTACTTACGATGGATGATGGAAAAGAAGTAATTGCAAAGATACCAAACCCCAATGCTGGGCGTTCGCACTTCGTGACCTCCAGCGAGGTGGCAACGATGGACTTTGTGAGTACTTATTCGACTTAACACTCATCCCTCAATCCAGAGTCAAGACTAACTTGCTCTGTCTACTGTAGGTCAGGAATAGATTACATATACCCGCACCAAAAGTATACTCGTGGTGTTCAGATGCTAGCAAAAGCAAAGTCGGTGCGGAATACATTATCATGGAGAAAGCTCCTGGAGCTCAGCTCTCTAAGTTCTGGGATAATATGAACGTTATCCAAAAGTCGAAAATTGTGGAAAATATTGTACTGTTTGAAAAGTCTCTTGCGTTGAACCCGTTTTCTGCATACGGCAGCTTGTACTATTCCGATTGCGATACTACAGAAGGCTTTACAGAAAGTGGATTCACTGTTGGCCCTACCAATAACCGAAAATACTTTGATGACGGAAGACACTCATTAGCACTAGATCGCGGGCCATGTAAGTTTTTGGGCATACCGGATATATCACTTTTTCTCTTTGCTAACTCTAGACAGGGTTCTCGGTAGAGGATTACATTGCTGCCAATGCAAAGAGGGAGCGTGTATCAATCACTTCTCTAGGCGCCTCCCCAAGGCTCCAGGGAATTTTCAATGGCCCTGGTCTCTATCAACCATCACAAAGTGCAAAGCTCCGTGCATTGGATCTATATTTGTCTATATCAAAATACACTCTCCCCAAAAACAAAGAGACCCATGAAGGTGTCCCATGGCACCCTGACCTCCACACAGACAATATCTTCGTTGACCCGCAAGATCCAACCAAGATAACATGCTTGATTGACTGGCAGGCAGTTCATATTGCGCCCCTCTTCCTACAGGCTCGTCGGCCTGCATTTCTAGATTTCGATGGCCCTATCCCAGAAAGGCTTAAGTTCCCTTCCTTGCCAGAAAACTTCGACGATTTGCAACCTGAGGAGAAACTGAATGCGAAGAAGCTCAGGGATGAGCAAGCACTATACGTCCTCTATGAAATTGAGTTGCTGCGGCAATGCCGAGCCGCAGGGTCAGCATTACATGGTCGTGATACGTTGGTGAGTCGGCTGACAGGTCTTGCTGGATCACTTTTTACCGATGGAGAGCCTGTTGTACTTGGCTACCTAATGCAAGCCGTTGACAGATGGGGCGAAATAGTGGGACGGGATGCCATTGGAGATCCAGTTATCCCCTGTCCTATTACTTTCACAGATGCGGAGAGGACTAAGCAACAGATAGATCAAGAGAAATGGAAAAAAGGTGTCGAATTGATGGATGATGTCGCTCAATCTTTGGGCGCATATAGTGGCTGGGATGGGTTTGTGAGCCATGACGACTACGAGGCTAGGAAGCAGCAAGTTATTGCCTCGCGAGACGCTTTCTTGCAGCGTATGGCTGGATCAGACGAAGAAAGAAGAGCGAAGTGGTGCAAAGCATGGCCGTTTCCTGTATCCTGAGCGCTGGCGGGACTTCTCGAGTAGAACTTATGTGCTAGATGCACGGCAATGGGAAACGTACGGAAAGGAGGGGCTTGATATGGTACTAAGGAACTACAGTGTAGGTTACCTAACTAGTCACAGAGATTAGTTAGTGCGGGTCTAGACGCTAACGTATAACGATTGCTTGAAAAGGCCGTTACAGATGTACCATGTATATGCTTTGCAGACGAATTGGTAGACGCCTATCCGAATGCCAATGTCATTCTCACAACTCGAGATCTAACCAAGTGGATCGTCTCAACCGAACGTACCTGTTCCTCATATCAATAAGGGAGCAAATGATGCACCGAGACATAAGACGCTTGCTATTCAACGGATTGTTATACTCACTACTAGGCTTCTGATACGGTCAGTTTTGTTTAAATCGTTCGCTGCTTCATTGTGATTGAGTCTCTGGCTATCTGGCAATGTATATTAATCTCAAATTATTCAAATAACCAGTTAACTCGTTACTTGCACGGAATTTGATGTTGGATACTTGATATATTATTTCTATACAAATCCCTTGACCTACGAAACACTTCCAGGAGGATATAAAATCATAGTTAAGTAGAGACTAATATAGCCTCATGTACTCTGTAGTTAGAGGGGAGAGAAATAGATTAACCCCCGTGGTATGTTTCCAGGACTTATACTTGTTGGGCCTTTGGCGGATCCAACAGATATAGTTAATTGTTCTCCAATAGCTCCAGGTACGGATACACCAGGGTTAAGTAGTTGGTTAGTTAACTGGCTTGCATAAAAGACCCAGGTTCCCCTCACTGATCTGCCTGCTTTCCCCCTTTCTCTTCGTCTTCTTCTCCTGATATGATACAGTCGTGTCAATTTATCAAGTCTTACATCCAGCCAACACCAGGGCCAGCCTGTAAATCTCCATCAGGTACTTTATTTATATCCTACTGACTCTACTGCATACTGATCCTTTTCCATCTCTGACAGGCAAAGCAATATGATCTCCCTCGTTGCATTCGACCTTGACGGCACTCTTGCCATAAGTAAGCAGCCGCTACTGGATACCATGGGCGAGGCTCTCGCTGACCTACTGGGGGTGGCTCATGTAGCCGTTATCTCAGGTGGTGACTGGCCACAATTTCAAAAACAGGTGGTTAACCGCCTGCCAGCACGCGCAGATCTTTCAAAACTTTGGCTTATGCCAACGACTGGCACAAAGTTGTATAAGTACCAGGATGGAGCTTGGAAGGCAGTGTATGCAGAACTCTTCAACGATGGAGTGAAACGGCAGATCCTAATAGCCTTCGACCAAGCCCTGGAAGCAACCGACTTCAAACCTGAGCAGACTTGGGGAGATCGTATTGAAGACCGCGGTAGCCAGATCACCTTCTCAGCGTTGGGACAAGAAGCACCTATCCACGCTAAAGAGATCTGGGATCCAGACTTTGCTAAGCGCAAGATTATTCAAGCTGATTTACGGACCCGTTTACCTGATGTCTCTATTAACATGGGTGGTGCAACATCAATTGATATTACACAGAAGGGTGTTAATAAAGGGTACGGCTTGAAAAGGCTCCGTGATGCAAGCAATATTCCCCTCGAGGAGATGATGTTTATTGGCGATGCGATATTCCCAGGAGGCAATGATTATCCAGCTAAGGAGATTGGTCTAAAGACTGTCTGTGTTCGGGACCCGGATGGAACGCTGGCTGCGATTGCTGCGATCATTGCGTGTCTGTCATAAGATACCACATGAAGTAAATATCACAGAGAAAAATCAAGATTAAGAGGGAGCACCCTCGAATACTTCAGCTGGAATAGATACCTGATAAAGATTAATCAAGCATCACTGCGGACTTCATCAGCACGTCCTGTACAGAGTAATTGGCTATTGAGTAGGTAGTCAACTCTCTACTTCCCTCTGGTGCCTCACTTTCTGCATCAATCAACTGCCGAACTACCAACCTATGTAGTTAGACGAGTATATAGTTGTTATGATGATTGTATAGTGTTTCTTATATATAACCTTAAATAGATACTTCAATTTTAACTTCACAAACCCCCTGACATTTTGCTTCCCAGTTTTCCTTATATATAATAACTAATATTCCGGAAAGAATATTGAAATCCCTCTGAAACAAGCCAATTAGTCAATAAGGATCTCTCAATATACCTAATTTTAGAAAGCAGTTGGTGCTTCTATTTTTCTTCAAATAAAGTGCACCATCTTCATAGTATCCATATTAAAATAAATTGGTTGGTGGATGCTCTATCGAGCCGCAATATCTTGCTTCATTACGATTATATATACTTCATATAATTAGCAGTCCTTAGGTATTCCACGCCAGTCAAGTAGTAACTGATTCACGGAGCGCAGGCAATATGATCCGCGATACCACTGATGAAGATATCAGCACCCTCCGCCATATGTCTGATGATGATAGACCACATACAGTCCATCTTGCATAGATTGTTGGCGCAATAGAATCATTTCCGCTCGATCTTGTTGCCACACCATTGCGTACGTTTTTCCTTTTTCTTCTTACTAGTTAACTAGTCGCAAAACTACATACAGCTTGATAAGAGGTGCATAATTCACGAGAATACAGCTGCAACATCGGGTAAATTCGGGTGACTTCAGGTACATTCAGGTACATTCAGAGGAGCGTAAGGTAAAAGGAGTGAAAAAAAGCAGCAAGGACACCTTACCGGAGAGAGCAGCAAAAAATGGGTGACC